ATACAACGAATTAATAAAAACTGCGAACTTTTGTTTTTCGTAAATAAATTTGTAAACTAAAATTGTTAATGAAACGTGCGCGTCAGCTCTGAGCAACGAGATCCATCAGAAGCAGGCAGCCGCCGAATTGACAGAAAAAACGATAGACGCGACTAGACTGGAGTACATGCCGATAGCCGTGTACTCCACCGTACTATTTTTCACCACGAGTAAGTGACCCCTGCTTCATCCATCATCCTCTAATCGACTCACCAGTAAAAAAAAAAAAAAATAAATAAATAAAAAAATGTTTCAAAGCCGACTTGGCCAACATCGATCCGATGTACCAGTACTCGTTGACCTGGTTCGTGAACCTCTTCAAAATGGCGATCGACAACACGGAGCAAGTCGAGGACGTGGCGGTCCGCATAGAGGACCTCAAGGCGTATTTCACCCGATCCCTCTACGAAAACATCTGCCGATCCCTCTTCGAAAAGGACAAGCTGCTCTTCTCGCTCCTACTGGTGATCAACCTGCTGAACAACGAGGGCAAAGTTGACCACACGCAGTGGATGTTCCTCCTGACCGGCGGAATCGGCCTCGAAAACCCGCACAAGAACCCCACCACCTGGATGCCGACTCAGGCGTGGAACGAGCTCTGCAGGCTCTCGGAGATCACGCCCTTCCAGGTTCCATTTTCACTCACCCCCCTCGAAACCCTTCGCTTCTAAAACCCCGTAGTAATACCGATCGATCGAATCATACAAGGGTCTACGGGAGGCCATCGGGAGTAAGAGCGAGGCGTGGAGGGACGTGTACGATTCCAAGGAGCCGCAGACCTCGAGCTTGCCACAGCCGTTCGACGAGCTGTCCATCTTCGAGAGGATGCTAGTGCTGAGATGCCTCCGACCCGACAGGATCGTCCCAGCCGTGCAAAATTACGTTGAATGTAATTGTAACAATCGCATGCGACCGCACGATTATACGCGTACGATAAATCGGTCAAACGATTTTGCAAACAGCTCAACTCGGGGCGGAGTACGTCGAGGCCCCGGCGTTCGATCTGGCCTCCCCGTACGCGGACTCGAACTGCAGCGTGCCCCTGATATTCATCCTGACCCCGGGGGCCGATCCGATGCAGATTCTGTTGAAATTCGCGGACGACCAGGGCTACGGTGCAAACCGGTTGTTCTCCCTGTCGCTCGGCCAAGGCCAGGGTCCGATCGCCGTCAAGATGATCAACGACGGGGTCAAGGAGGGCAACTGGATCGTCCTGCAGAACTGCCACTTGGCCAAATCCTGGATGGACAACCTCGAGAGGATATGCGAGGACCTCAGCCCCGACACGATCCATCCGGACTTTCGGCTGTGGCTGACGAGCTACCCGGTCGAGCACTTCCCGGCCTCGGTGCTCCAGAACTCGATCAAGATAACCAACGAGCCGCCTAAGGGCCTCCGCGCCAACATCCTCAAGTCGTACGCGAGCGACCCTATCGGCGACCCCGAATTCTTCGAGTCCTGCGAGCAGGCCGAGCCCTTCAAACGGCTCCTCTTTGGTCTCTGCTTCTTCCACGCGGTTGTCCAGGAAAGGCGCAACTTTGGCCCCATCGGCTGGAACACGTGCGTCTCAATTGCATCCCCAACCCACTATTAAATGGGTAACAAATTCAACAAATAATGTACCCTCGTGGTTTATGGGAGAGCAGACCGTACGAGTTCAACGAGACCGATCTGCGCATAAGCCTGCTCCAGCTGAGGCGGGCCCTGAATGATTACGACGACGTGCAGTACGAGGCGCTACTGTACCTGACCGGCGAGTGTAACTACGGGGGTCGGGTCACCGACGACTGGGACCGGCGCACCCTCATGGCCATCCTCGGGACCTTTTACAACGAGTATGTCAACATTGTCGTCGCTGTGTGCTCTCAACTTGTACATATGAACACGAATTTTCAGGGATCTCGTGAACAAGGAGACTTACTACTTCGACGACACGTCCGACATTTATTACTGTCCCTCGTTCAAGGATTACGAGGCTTATTTGAACTTCACGAGGAAATTTCCCATCACGACGAGGCCCAGCGTTTTCGGGCTTCACGAGAACGCCGACGTACTGCGGCACAATCAGGAGACGGACCTCTTGTTTTCCTCCCTGCTCCTTACCCAGGTTTGGAATTTAGCCGCCGTTTCGTTTCCACTCAGTTTTCTAATAATGCCATGTGAATTTTCTATGCATACTGCTATACTCTTACCGTAGGACCGGATGGTGAGAAAAATCATAACGATTTTCACTCGGACGATTAACTACTAATATTATAATATTTACGTTTTTTGTTCACCAACTGTTTGACATTATATGTATAGGACTTGTGGGAGTCGAAGGTGATGTACAGCTGTTATTAAATTAGTTTAGCAAATTGGCACTCGATATTCAAATATCCTCACAACTAGCACAGCGTAATCTAAGTCTTAGTCTCAATAGCATTCAAGTAGTTTGGGTGTGTTTGCCGTAGTGGTTATATTGTTGTTCTGAAAAATGGCCCAGACCGCGCATGGCGTAAAAAATTCAACTTTTTGTGCACTCGACAGGAAAAATCGCGTAATGATGCGAGTGGCGCCTCGGAAGATCAAGTGGTGTACAAAATCGCATCGGACATATTGGCCAAGTTACCCGAGGATTACGACCTGGTGAGAGCGATGGAAAAATATCCGACCCTGTACAACCAGAGCATGAACACCGTGCTCGTCCAAGAAATGGGCCGGTTCAACAAGCTCCTCGGCTGCATAAGGAGCAGCCTCATAAACGTCAAAAAGGCCATCAAAGGTACACGATTACATCCACGCACACCCCAAACAATGGAACCCGTGCTCCAATATAATATATATACCTTATCAAAACGCATCAGGCAGCGTCGTGATGTCTTTCGAGTTGGAACAAGTCTTCTTCGCCCTGGTGACGGGAAGGATTCCCGGACTGTGGAAACGCTTCTCGTACCCCTCTTTGAAACCTCTGGGCAGCTACGTCGAGGACTTTTTGGCTCGCCTGCAATTTTTACAGGTTATTTTTTTTTTTGTTTTTTCTTAAAATATCTTGACAGCATTATTAAAGTATCGATGCACGGGTAAAAATACTTACCATCCTTTCCGAAGATTTGGTACGATAACGGCCCCCCGTCAACTTACTGGCTGTCCGGTTTTTACTTCACCCAAGCTTTCCTCACCGGAACTCGACAGAATTACGCGAGGAAGCATCAGATTCCCATCGACTTGCTGGTCTACGATTTTCAAGTCATGAGAGAGACCAGCCTGACAGAGTCGCCCGAGGACGGCGTCTACGTGTAAGGATCACATTTATACATTTTATACATGTTCGGTTGGCTTTTGTAGCACCATTACTTTTAAAAGTGACTGCATGTATCTACTCTCTTTGATGTTCAAGTTGGGGACTCTTCCTGGACGGGGCGAGATTCGACAGAGACAAGATGGTCGTAAACGAGAGCTACCCCAAGATATTGTACGATGAAATGCCATACGTGAGTTTCCTTTGACGAATAAACATATGTACAATAAATTTATAACTTGTATGGTGAAAAACAGAGGATGATGATGGTGATACGATACTTAAGTGATTGTGTTTGTTATTGACATTGTAGATTTGGCTGATGCCCAAGAGAAAGGAGGAGATCGGGGACAGGATGAGCTACGAGTGCCCGCTGTACAAGACGAGCGAGAGACGCGGGACACTGTCGACAACGGGCCACTCGACGAACTTTGTCATCGCCATGCGCCTACCAACCGACAAACCCTCCGAGCATTGGATACGTCGGGGAGTTGCCATGCTGTGCCAGCTGTCGCAGTGATTTAATTACCGGCCCATCGTGGAACAAACGATAACCTTGTCACAATCCAGATTTGCGATTAATCAATAAAATGCATTATAAACAATACACTGCATTACTTTCGCAAAAAAAAAAAAAAAACAAGTGTCTGCCGATGGATTTCAAAACAATAAATTACAAACCATCGCAATTATAATAAGTTTAGTATACCTACGAGCTAAAAGTTGTGGGAAAAAAAAACATGACTTTCGTAAGTCGCGCTTGGCACTGTGGGAGTAGAAGCAGCCAATAATACTTAATTTCCAACAATTCGATACATCAAAAAGTTCGCGCGCAAGCGCTTGTGCTTGTGATGATATACATGGGTCATTTCGCGAAATATAAAATTTCGATGGGGTGAAATGGGATTTCAAAAGCTCGGTATCAAGAAATTTTTAGTCGCGTGGAATGTAAAGGCGTTAAAAAATTCAAGCCCGACTGTGCGTGTTGAGTATACAAAAATACCCTTTTTACATTATTTTTAACATGGGCGTCTGAATTCATGATAAAGACTACCTTTTGCATACCGAGTTTTGTTTTGTCGAAATCTTCAATTTTCGTGTTTGCAGCGTGTTAAATTTTTTTATCCCTATACATACAATTAATAATATCACCTTGAAATCGTAAAATAAAATTGTTAAAAAATTTGAAAACGTAAATTATTTTTATTTTTTTTTTTTTTCTTATTTAGCTTGATCAATAAGTAACTAAAAACACGTAAAATAAAGTACATCAGAGGTAATATATTAAAATGAGATTTATCGAGCCAAGAAATAATATCCAGATCATGCTTTGGGCGTGAATTGTGGGGTGTTTCACTCGCCAATTTTCTGCCTGTAATTTAAATATTTTTATTCACATTTTTTTCATTTAAATTTTAAAGATATCACCTTTTTCAGCTATACGTAGTATTGTTCAAATTCGGAAAATAACACACTTCAGATTACGTATAAAAACTCGCTAAGTTGAACAATAAACCTAATAATTGACGCGTATTATTACATTTCTTGGTTAGAAAAGTCTCGCGAAGAAACTTTGTTCAACCAACCCCTGCTGAAAAAGGATACAATTTTTTTTAAAACCACTGAAAGGATTTTGTGCGGAATTTGTCATGTACAATTTAAACACGTATACAGATATAAAGTAAAACAACAACAGTGCTCTTTTGGAGCAGCGGGTTAGCGGAGCGGAGGAGAGGAGCGAATTGTAACGCAAAAGAGAAGTTGGAACGAGAAAAGGAACAAAAAAAAGTTCTTACACTGATTACTGCATTAAAAAAGAAGAAAAAAAAAAAAAGTCAAAGATGACCCAAGACAGTGCTACTTGAGTTGGTGTGGAGAGGATCCCGAAGGTGCGCACACCCCCAGAGGAGCACATGGGACTCGGGGGGAGTATACGACCACAGAAAAGACAGTCTTTGGGCAGTTCGGGCTGTGTGTATTATATCTTAGTAATATAGCGACAATATAGTGAATAGCGTATACCTACGTGATGCGATCGAGCGCAGCGCGTGTCACACGTTAACGTACGTCACTGTCAGTCGTCGCACTCGTCGCGTCGTCGAACGTAGTAGTATTAGGTAGCCCAGGCTGTCCAGGAGGCGTAGGCGTGCAAAAGAAAGCCAGTCGAGGGTCATCGGGAGAAACGAGAGAGAGAAAGAGTGACAGCCGGCCACCAACTTTTGACAAACGTTCGATTCGGAGTGCTGACCAAAGCTTGAGCTTGCTCGTTCTCCTTGAGGATGCTCCGGGCCTGAGCGCTTATTGACACCAGACGCCATGAATTGCCACCAGATACTCAGCGGAGCTTGCAACGCGGGCGACCGTTGCTGCGCCGTTGGCTCCGTCGAGGGCATATCCTTCACCGTGAGTTTTTCACTACCTTATTTCGTTCTCCCAAACAACCATTTGCTAGTGTGTATAGGGCACCAACTACCTAAAACAGCAGTGTCAGGCCTGATCCTATTACCTATTACCTGCTACCACTGGATGAGGAGGGACACGCCAGATGAGAGTTAGGTAGACGAGGACGGTGATACCTTTAGATAGACCGATACAGTCACGATGAGTACTCTCGCACCAGCTTCTTTTCGTCTTCGAGATGAGAGTCAGCTGATTGAAGCGCGCACATACTCCTTTTTTTTCTAATTCTCGTCTGCTACTCGCTACTGTCATCGTCGATCGGATACATAATTATACACATGATATACACACCTCCAACATAAAAGCTCGTTAAAGTCCCTGTAAGCTCGAAATTTTCGTTTATTTTCGTGCCTCCACTACACTCATAGACATTACCTTGGTCGATCGTTTTTTTTTTATTCATTGATTCTTTTTTTCTCAATTATCAGGCCTATGCAGCTGGTTGTAACATAGTGATCCTTGCCAGCAACTTTGAGAGGGTGCAAATTATCCCTGGAGCGGTGCATAATTACATAAGGATCAGCTGTCTGGACTGCAGCACGGACACTGGCAAGATAGCTGCTGCGTACGAGAATCAAGTCTGCATTTTTGAACCAACACCGCTTATTCATACCACGTGTTCTCATGTGAGTTATAACAAATAACAATGTAAAAACAGACAACAATTTTAATTTGATAACGACTCTCAATACGTTTCGTCACCTATAGCAATTAGAATATCGTTGGGTTCAAACTGGTAGCTTGCAAACTGAGTCAAACATCAGCTCTTTATCATGGAATTTGGAAGGAACACGCCTGCTGACGGGAGGAGAGCTTCTGCAGTTGTGGCATCAAAACATTTTGCCATTTCAAGAAGAACAAAGTGAGTATTTCATGCACTTGCTACAATCGCTTTACCACCAAGTGATAAGAAACAATGGAAAGTTAACTATTGAATAATTTACATCTATGATTTCCAATAAGCTTAAGTCTTAGCAGTATTCTATTTTATATTATTATCTATGTAGCTGCAAAGCCAAAAGCAATACAATCAGAAGAATCCTCAAATCCAGGAGTAGAACAAAGTGTATCACGGAATGCTACACAAGATCGTGAGTTCATTCATTTTAAAGAATGAACATCATTATAATTTAATTAAAGAGGCATTATTTTTGCATGGCAAAATATACTTGTATCAAAATCACTTTTTAGTTTTTTTTATAATTTGGCAATCGTATCATCAGCAAACAAATCAGTCACTCCCATGCTTTGTTTCATCCAAGTTTTATTTTAATAATAAATTTTGTTTAATTAAGCTTGTGTGATTGCTTGAATACTTACTTAAAATACTTCACAAGGTTTATGATAATTTAACAAGCATCGTAGAAATAGTGTTACAGTTTACAAATCTGTTTCAATAATCATATATTTTTATAGCTGGAACAGTTACGTTTTCAATCGGAGAAGCAGAAAGTCCACAACCATCAGAAACAAATTTGTCCAACGATTCAGGAGGTTGGAACTGCGTTTGGAAATGTCGCACTGCCATACCAGTTCATTTGATGAGTTTCAGTCCAGATGGTACCCTTTTTGCAACTACCGGAGTAAATGACAGACTAGTAAAAATTTGGTTTGAAAACAAACAAAGTAATAAAAGATTTTTGTTTCATCAAAATTTGTAAAATTAAATTACGAGCTTAACTAGAAAATTTTTTAAAACAGTGTTCTCAACTAAAAGTATTGATCACTCAAACTTCAGTCAGCCAGTATCGAGTGATAGTTTTAGTTTTGTATATGTTGCACATCCAAGAGCTGTTACTCACATATCATGGAGAAAAACGAGTAAATACATGCCAAAGTAAGAGTCTTTGCGACATTAACTTGAGTCTTAACAATATCAGTATAATCTCAATGTGGGTGTGAAATAATTTCAGGGGTTCGGTGTCAAATATGTTGGTGACTTCGTGTCGTGATAATATTTGTCGCGTATGGACAGAAACTATTCCACCAGAGATCGAAGGTTTGGCAAATATGAGCCAATTTGAGGGAACCGACAGACATGGGAATCATGTGAAAAATCGTCATCATAGCATGCATAAGCATCGTTTCATGCAACGACTGAAACATATGAAGTAAATATTCAATATTCAAAATATGATTTCGGGAGCATTTATGATTTAAAAATGTACAACGGAAATTTTCGTAGGACGTGTTTTCATATACGCCGACATGCGAAACAGCAAAACCAAGCCGGTCATACCGCGCCCACATTACCAACGTTACCATCGACCTACTCTGTTCACGATTTTCATAATAATTACCAAAGTTCTGCACATTACCCCGGGATGCATTTCCATTTAGCAGCAAGTATTAACGCGGAAACAGGTATTCATCTTTTTTTGTGTTAGTTGAAATTGTTAAATGATTTACTTTAATTGAAAATCAAATATTTCAGATATTCCACTGGTTCCAAGCTTGATCACAGATGATCCTGACAGGGAACCAAATTTTATTTTACACTGGTTGAATAATAAGGAGATGCAATTTACTATGCAAGCAGAAAGTATTTTACAGGTATAAAAAAAAAAATATTCCCGTTAACTTATTTCGTTGTACATTAAAACACCTGTTGCTTAATTTTCTAATTTTTCAATTAAAGGAGTTGACGAGGAAAGTAGTGGAAAAAGAAGAGGGTATGCACCACCATCCGGAAACGGAACATGTTGATCATGATTCAGAAGACGAACACACACCAAGTACGTTTTTAAAATGATCATTGCAACGTCACTTTTGAGTTGTTTTTTGTTTTTGTGTAATAACCGTACTGTTTTCATTATTACTAATGGTTTATTGGGTTGGAATAAAAAAATAATTGCTCCACGTAACACACAATCAGCAAATTAAAATCTCATCAACTGTAAAAAAAGCTCGCTTCATAGCGTCTATCAAAGGGACCGAGAGTTTAAAAAATATACAAAATGCTTTGATGTTTGCACGTACGTTGTATGTTGCATGCTGCATGTGGGGTTGAAAATATGACTTATCAGGAAGCATCTTATCCTGTTACGGTATGGTGCGGCCAACAGAAAAAGGAACTCGACATTCATCTGGTCAAAAAACAAACATTGGTGGACGTACAACGAGTCAAGAGGACCACAGTAGCGATGAGCATCACACAACACACACGACATCGTCCCACCATAGCCTTCCTCACAGTGTTCATTCTCACCAAAGCCTTAGGTAAATATTAACTGTAGGTTTTGACTTTGTTTTGGTTTTCCCACGATCCTCCTTTCCTTTTTTTTCAATTATTTATCTAATTGTGTTTAACAAATAATAGAGCCTTGGAGGACTTAAAATATATATATTACCCTTACTTTTCGAATAATTACGATTGCAACTATTTTTCATTCAAATTTGTATACTTTGTGATAAAGTATGGTAAGGTACACGTCTGCAAAACATAAAATATTTATACGTATATTGTTTTGATTGCAGTAATACAACCTCGATAAACTCGATAGCAACTGACGCACCAACCACGAGTCAATTGCCTGACTCACTGGACACAAAAATAGAAACACTTCTGCGTGACTGGCATCACAATCCCGATCTCCTATTTTCGATACATCCGATCGACGGAAGCTTTTTAATATGGCACATCGAATGGTTAGACGAGTACCACCCAGGCTCCTTCCGACAAGCTCAAATTTCATTTTCCACGCGAATCCCAAATGCTTTTCCTTTAGGAGACGCCTCGACTATGAGTCACAACGTCTCTATGTATTCCCATAATACCGGCGGCCCTCTACTCAATATTCGCGAAGTTTCCAAGTCTTCCACTGCTACCAAGCCCTCGGATTCGGCCGAGATCACGACACCACTGCCGAGCCTTATCGAGCAAGATGAAGATCAGTCCACCCTCACCTCGAAAGCGGCCATGGAGTTTGCGAAAAGTATTCAAAATGGAGTCGAACAACATCACCAGAACGGCAAAGCTACGCAAAACGGCTCTGCCACTGATGCTCAAAAACATTCGGAAAATATCAATGACGTGCTTGCACATCCTAGTCCTATGGTCTCGATGGTTTCCAAACATGCCAATGGTACTCTAAACCTGTGGCAGCTGACTTTTGCAGATAAAACGAAATTCTCTCAAGTAAATTGCCTACCTGCTAGACATTTTATTTTCTAACTATTCAAGGTACAATCATTTAACAACAACAAAAAATCTCTCTTCCAGGTGTTGAGCATTGGTCACGCGTGCAGAGCTTCGGGTCACCGTTTCCGCGTCAACGATATAACTTGTCATCCGGTACTACCTCTTCTACTGACCACGTCTCACCACAATATCCCAGAATTCTCCCCTAATCAGTCGACTGAAAAAGTAGAAGGTTCCAATGAGCCAAAAACGCACAAGGACATAATGACAGCCACGGGTTTTTGTAGCGAGCTAATCCTGTGGCGCGTCGACGCGGTCGGACCGCTGTCAAAGAGCGGGGGTGTTTCAGAACTGGCACGCATCAACTCGCTCGAAATATCGGCTTTTAGTAACGTCGCTTGGATTCCTACGCTCCTGCCAAGCACGACCCTCGGAAACCTGTCCAACTCGCCTAGTGCCTGCTTTGTTGCAAGCGACGGCCAATGCCTGCGAGTCTATCAAGCCGTGATAGACGCCAGAACTCTCTTAGCCGAGGTTTCCATAAGCGAGCGCCGTAGTCGAATGATGGACTCAATGGCCAGTTTATCCACCGACATTTCCTCGGACGACGGCGCTAGACATTCCATTCACGACAGAATCAAGATCGTATCGCAGCAGTCGACCGCGAGGCCGGGCTGCGTCATTCAGCTCGACGCTATTTCCGACGCAACCCACGATTGGCAAAATACTCAGTTCCTACACGTCTTTCAGGAACAATTAATCACTGGCGAGCGCAACGACGAAAAGCAGACCGGACTAGACACATCGCTCAACGATCTTGGTAAGTTGGCACGAAATTGGTGTCTAATTACAGTCAATGATGACATTTTTCTCATTCAGGCCTTATGGAATCGACGCTGGATGCAATGGTGGATCTGCAACAGTCATCGATTTTCGAAGAGCCTTTTTACATCGTTGTGCTGGAACGTACACCAAAGGGCACGACGGTTCACATGTGGCGACTCGTCATCGCCTCGCAGCCCGAATACCAGGGTCTGAGCGGCTCGATGATGTACGTGCCGGATTCCCAACTAGTCCAAGACGAGGAAGAAGAGGGCACACCGGGTGGGCGCAGATCTCGTCGGCCTAGCACGTGTGGCATTGGATCGCGTAGTCGGCGCAACAGCCAAGCCGATTACCAGGAATCAACTTTTGCCCACCATCGCCACCACAACAGCCACGTACTCATCAGCACGACCAAGGTCTGCACGCAGGAGCTACCAATCCCGGATGGTGTCGAACTTATCCACGCTGCGCCTGCTGCTGGCCACCTGAGCAGTTCCTCAATTTACCCGGCCTGTTTCGCGCCTTACATCATTGTCACCGCGTGTAGCGACAGCACCGTACGCTTCTGGAAGTGCAAAGTCAGCAAGACGAGCGAGGAACCGGGCAGTCCCTTGCACTACGAATGGTGCGAGTGGGAGATGATACGCAAAGACAAGGAGTCGACGATCGACATTACCGGCCAGCCTCTCAACATCAGCGCGGCTTACAGCGGTCGCATTGCTTGCGCTTACAAATATGGCAAGTCGTTCACGCGGCCAACCAAGGCCGACCCGGACTCGCGTTACGTCAATCTTTGCGTGGCGATCTACGAATGTGAGAGCACTGGAGGCAGCGAGTGGATTCTCGAAGACACGATCCACCTAAAGAACATTCATTTGCCGAGGATACAAGTCGATCAGCATTTAGATTTGAGTTACCTCTATGACAGCCGGTTTCTCCAAAAGAAGCAGAGGCTCACGCAGGTTTTGCAAACGTTGAGCCACGAAGACGTGAGATCACCGCGGAACGGGGAAAACGGGGGCAACGACAGCGCAAAGGCTGGTCTACTAGCGGTGCCGTCCTTCAGTACTTTGCAGTCTCTCCGCAAGTCGATAATCGAGAACGGCAACACTTGCCCCCTGACTCAGAAACATCTCGTGCAGCTCGACTGGGTATCCAAGGAGGACGGCTCGCACATCCTCACCGTGGCTGTTGGCTCGAAAGTCATGCTGTTCACTCCGGTCTGTTCGGACCTCGCGCAAGCCAACATGAAAGCTATGAAGGAATCCCAGACCGGCAACAGACCTATATTGCGAAAGACATCGTCGCTGGCGCAACCCCAGTTTGTAGACGAAATCCGATGGATGAAACTGAGAAAAATTGAATTGATGACGGCGGACGGTCTACCGCCTCTGCCCATGCAAATATCTTGGGTGAGGGACGGAATACTGGTGGTGGGCATGGACTCGGAAATGCACGTTTACTCACAGTGGAAACCGAATCCAAAAATGGACTACTTCCATTCGGGTCTTCAGCAGCAGCAACAGCAGGAATCTGACGAATTTCAAACAAGTCGCAACTTGCGAGACGAAGACTTGCGAACCCTGGCTCACGAGACATCGCAACGTAGACTGGCCAACGTATCGTCGATGACGCACTTGTCTCGAGTCAGCAGTATCAATCTGACGATGCTGGACGCGTGCAAGAAGCGCGGCATGCAAAATGAGACCGTGAACCTGGATTACATGCCCGACTATGGGCTATTCGAGGCCTCCAGAATAGCTTGTCCCGTACTGCCACAGTATCACCCAAAGCAGCTAATGGAACTCCTGAACTCGGGCAAGATTCGTTGGGTGAAGGCAATCCTTGCTCACTTGGTGCGCTGCATCACGAGTTCGTGCCCCATGCGAGCAGACGACGAAAATCTCATGAAACCAAAGTCGAGCGGCTGGTCGCGCTCGCGCACAATGTCCGTCAGCTACGTGGGTACGACCTCGCCGCTTGAACCCCGTGGTTCCACCACGCAAATGACCGAGGAGCTGACTCTCGACTACGCAGAGATAACCTCGATCTCGCCTCTGCCACTCTGGACGCTCCTGATCGCCGACCGCGAGACCAACGTGAGTCAACAGATGGAAGACAAGCAGGACTACAACAAGCTTTTCGATGGTAACGTTGACGAGGGTGACTCCTTGGATGACATGCTCGAGGAGGATTACGAGTATTCGCGCCAAAAAGACCGACGCTCTTCCGTACCTGAGCGCCAGGGCATATCGAACTTCGGTCCAAGGCAAGGTCGCGTGCTCTCTCGCCTGCTGACCCACAGCCATCTGCCAGGGCTTTCCAGCCTCGATCAGATGCACCTACTTGCCCTCGCTGACACGGTGTCCACGTGCAACGTAGACTTTGCCGAGCGCTTTGCTATCGACGCTCAGAAGAGCGCAATCGCCAAGGAGAACCTGACAGGTGTGCCCCTGGGTGAAGCTGTCTCCATGGACTCGCTGGACGATTGCGGCCTGCGCTTCCTGTTGGCCATGAAGCACTACAACTACCTGATAAGGTGCTTGCCGTTGGCCCAGCGGGCTCAGTTCCAAAAACAGGGCGTCTCGACGAACAATCTCGTCTGGGCCTTCCATTCCGAGTCGGAGGAGGAGCTGCTTACTCTGATACCTTCGTATGCAAAGGGCCAGCCAAAGTGGGCGGTGCTCAAGGAACTCGGCGTGGGCTGGTGGATTAGAAACATGGCGGTGCTCAAGACCTGCATCGAGAGAATCGCCAAGGCTGCCTTCCAGCAGGACCAGGATCCCCTCGACGCTGCCATTTACTATCTCGCCATGAAGAAGAAAAATCTCGTCTGGGGCCTTTTCAGGAATAAAAGGGACGAGCGAATGACCGCCTTTTTCTCCAACAACTTTACCGAGGACAGGTGGAGGAAAGCTGCCCTCAAAAACGCCTTTGCGCTTCTCGGGAAGCAGCGCTTCGAGCACGCCGCGGCCTTTTTCCTTCTCGCTGGGGCGCTTAGAGACGCGATCGACGTCTGTCTCCACAAACTGAACGACCTCCAGTTGGCAATGACCGTTGCTCGGCTGTACGAGGACGACATGACGTCACCGAATCTAAAGAGGCTCATGTTCGAAGAAGTGCTGGGCTGTGACAAGGATGGGAATAACCAGGACATCAATAAAGCCCATCCCGATCCCTTTCTGCGCAGCATGGCCCTTTGGATTCTCAAGGATTACTCAGGCTCGCTCAATACTTTGCTATTGACCAATGTGGGGACTCATCACCCTCAGTATAATGACGAGGCCGACAAGCCTGAAGGCTCGACCGCGAACCCGAACGTTTTCAACTTTTATGTTTACCTAAGAACTCATCCTTTGCTTATTAGGCAATACATAGCGTCCACTGCTCAAGACAAAAAGAAGGGCCATTCTGTTATTATTTCGGGATTCAGTTATGGAACGGAAACAAAGACGCAGCAAGACAAACAGCTCACATTAGAAGATACCATAACTCCCTTGGAAAGACAGCTCTACTTTACAACGGCACATGCACATTTCAAAGCCGGATGTCCAGCACTTGCTTTGGAAGTTTTGTCAAAGTTGCCGAGCAAAGTAATGGAAACTAACGCCGAGGATTCTCCTAGTGCGTAAAATTGCAATTTCATCCTATCTATTACTTGTCTCAAGCTTACATTTTTTCACAGTTAATTAATATTACAGGTCTCCTGAACAGTCCAAGCAAAACTAGAGCCCAAAACTTTGAAATAGACACAGGCATCATTAGCTGGGAAGACAGCACGAAAAATTCCACTCAAGGTTTGTTGGAGAAATAATAAAAAATTTGATAAATTTATAGAATTATTGGAAATCAATACATTTTTCTTTCTTTAGACGCGGCTTCTGTAATGGACTGGTCACAACCCGTAGTCAAAGAGTCGGACGAATTAGTGCTCAATTGGGATGATGATCCAGCTGACAACGATGACGAAAGTCCTCCCATAAGTATGAGCTTGGATAAGAAAAAAGAAGAAAGTGTAGATAAAGAAGTGGATAAAGAAGGCAAGGCTCAGTTATTTTAACAGCAAATAAAAAAATTAAGCCATGAAAAAAAATTTTTTTATTTTTATTTTAATGGATGANATTATATATTATTGAGAATATTATCGCCTTTCATTTTTAATTAGCCATTGATTTTCAGATAAATATATTTTACTTTAGTGAGGTACAAGATATTTCACATTCCATTATCTGAGTAAAAAGTGAACTGCGTATTTTTTCCTGAACCATTGGAATGATATAATAATATTGGTGTACATATTAAACTAGACTATAGAAATTGATTGTTCTAATTGTTGATAAAATCGGAGTTAATATTATATATTATTGAGAATATTATCGCCTTTCATTTTTAATTAGCCATTGATTTTCAGATAAATATATTTTACTTTAGTGAGGTACAAGATATTTCACATTCCATTATCTGAGTAAAAAGTGAACTGCGTATTTTTTCCTGAACCATTGGAATGCAATCATTTAAATATTGTATTTTAGTTGATACATAGATATAAGTTTATGTGATTGACAAAGAGAGGAAAAAAAGGTTAATGTTCAAGTAATGAATTGCTAAGGCTGTGTACCTTAGAAATTCTTAAATTCTAAAGGTTGTGCACAAACAATTCTGTCATTGCCATAAAAATAGAAACCCAAGAAGTAGAAATTGCAAACCGCTGTGCTTTGAGAGCGAGTATTAGGCACATATCAGACGAAACAAATATTCTTGTATCATAAAAATGATCAATCATCATTTTAAACGATTATCTCATGTTCCATACGCAAAAATGCATAATGTTTTGTGCAATAAAGTTATAATATTGAATTTTAAAACTAAATTTGTATATTTTGTAAGCAAGTTGCAGCTGTAGTTTGTAGTACTATTTGAAAGTCTGAGAAATTATTTAAAAATTTGTTCATTTGTTTTTTATGCAATTATTATGAGTCTAATGTATTTCGAATTCGATAATTCCCACTATTGATTCAAGAATTAAATTTCTACTGAATTCTATAAATTTTTTATTCATTCAGGTTTACATGCATATAGTACTACAAACTCGTTCAAAGAAAATTCTTTGTTGATATAGAATTACAGCTGCTCTTAAATAACAAGTTTCTTCTGCATTATAAATGCTGTAACTTGATATCATAAAATAATGTACCTATGTGAAAAACATTATAAAAGTTATAAAAGTAATTTTAATAGATAAACTTTAATGTATCGCTTACAGTGACTCTGCTTTCATGATGTTAGTGTAGCCAATCATCTCGCATTTTTCAATAAAAAGCACCCAACACGCTAAAAAAAATCTTTCCATCGTACATAATGTCACTAAGATCGATTCTGTAATCATACTTTATGAACATATATTATGAAAACTGTGAAGATTTATTTACAAAACAAATTCATTACAAATATTGGTACAATAAATATAAAGTCGTTCATAAACTTAATGTTCTTATTACCAATTTTCTTTATTTTACTTTAATTGAGCTAATGATTTAACCACTGAAACACACAGAGCTTGCAAATCACTTGGTGCTGTGTACTCTGCTGCTAGAATTGCGTTGGCAACTGCAACGATGTTTTCAACACTGGCCTTAGACTGTATCCATATCCTACCATTCATTCCAACTGCAAGCTCGTACTTTAACTCTTCAGATAGCAAACGTAACAGTGGACAGTTTTTGTTAAGAATCTTCCTCACAAGGTTCAAGGAACATGTGAAATACATGCCAGTTGGATTTAAAATGCCAAGCTTGCCTTTTTTGCCAAATGAATCAACACACACCAATTCTGGCTCCATATCTTTACTGGCCACCAAAAGTTTTGCATAAACAATATCTCCTACTTGCACATCAGGCCTATTTCTTTTAGTGGCGCCTTCAAAAGCAATATACGATAGAGATGCTGTTTCACTTGCACCAATGTCAACTTTAAAAATGTCTCCGGCCTTTTGTGTGACAACACCAACAACATTTTCACCTTGGCTAGGAACATACCTACAAGTATAAAATTATTAAATTAATATCGAAAAGAAAAAAAACAAATGAGGCATTTTATATATATTTATATAGCCAAGGCATCGTAATATTTTAGCTATCAATAAGCAAAGACAATTTTTTATACGCATATATATGGACAAAAGAAAAAAATAAAATAAAAATAATGACAGTGGTAAAAAACGAGAAAAGCAAATAAAAACCGCGAAGGTAAATTATTTACCTAAATATATTCCGTATAGATAGTGGAAAAGTTTTATCCTTTGCTACAGAGTGCTTCGAGAGACTAGTCAAAATTACGTCACTGTATTTAATATCATTTTTTTTTCGACATTAATTTTTTATAGTATATAAGTGTATCCCAAAGGCAATGCCTGAAATTTATTACAAAAATTTAGTGTTAATATTTAATACTGAGTTCACTGTTTTGGTATGGAGTTTTTATAGGTTTATTTCGCTTCAGTTGCTTGTGCATATATTTTTTTATTTTCTTAGATAGTATATTGTATATGAGCGAGGAATAACGGTTTAATTTTAAATGGTATAACATTGACAAAGTAAATTGTAATAACTGACAAAGGAAAAGAAAAATTATTCTTGTAATTATGGAACCAAGGGTCGGAGTAATAGTGAGTAGATTTTTTAGATCCACCTCATTACGACAAACACCAATATCTGTCATTACTAGAATCACTTATTTCGCTCAATTTATTTGTATAGACACACTTAAAAAATTCATCAATATTCTTAGTCTTTATTGACTGTAAATAGGAAGAAAATAGTCATCGTTGAAAAAAATTTTATGCACGTCGTTAGAATTAAAAAAAATGACAGATATTCTCATCCATATCATCATGCTAGTCTCGAATACCTATCAACTTACCTGAAAAAAAAGCTAAAATATTCATAAAATTTTTCTACCTTATTATTTTCGATCAGATGTCTTCTCTCGTTCTCTATGGATGTCTGATGTTCAACTTGTAAGATAGAGAACTTGTAAGCTGCGATAAAGATATAAATATATATACGCGAAAAATCTGGGCTTAGTAACAAAATAATAATTATAATATAACAATGAAGAATGCACTTTTGTAGTTAGATGTAATGTCTAAAATAACGCGCTACGACATGTTGAAGGAACAACGTACGGTAGTATGTACATTAATAGATTAAAGTGTTGTGGTTGCTGGCAAAACCATTATTTCCGACATTTCTTCATTGCTATCTACGTTAAACATGACAATTTGATCATTGTAATAACTAAAGATTTCGTTTAAAACTAGCCAGTTTTTTTTATACTACGTACGTTGTCAGTATTTTAATAAGTTTAAAAAATTGTTTATTATATTGTCACGTCACAGTATTATTTTCAAACATTTTTATGAATTAAATTAAAGCGTAAAATGTTTGTTGTAGACTGTTAAGATAAAAAAATGACTCAATTTGTCAAAAATTGTTGGTGAACCAAAAATTAATTAACAAAAAACTCCTCCGCTGCACAGCTGATATGTGACGTTGAGTCAGTGATTATTGATGGTTGACAGTAATTATTTATCTTATTGATATTATAAATGTAATTAATATTTTGTTTGAGTGAAAAGTGGATAAGTAGCTAACGTATTTGCAAGTGATGTTCGAAACACAAGGAAACGAATGAATGAATACTTGCAAACAAGTCAGCGTCATTTCTATTGGACCTAAGAAAAAAAGTTAATGAATCTCGTAATAACTGTGAATCGCTAATCTCTTGTAAAATTTTCCGTGAGAAAATTTACAATGTAGACAGAATGATAGCCTTTGTAAAACAAATATAAGTTTGAAGATCCGTGCGTGAAAGTCAATTGATTTTTTTTTTACTATGATTTTCCTTTTGATTCAAAGTTTCGATTAATAGATGTTAGAAATCGTTATATCCCCGTTCCTAATTGTCACCGCGCTTACACGATACTTTGAATTGAACAGATCCTCAAGCATAAAATCGATGGGATTAGAAGAATTTCCTCGCATCCGCTACTGCCTCTATGTAAGTATTAAATTATTATTATTACAAACGAAACCACAAACACTGGACTGTACTCGTCACTGTCACGTTACCCGCAGATTTAACGGGATCCCAGGATGGTTCGGTATCGCTGTGGGAATGGGGGCATCAGAACGCCGTAGCAACTCCAAGATCCCCGGGCACCTTCGCCAAAGTAACTCGCGTGCGATTCTCCCAGCACGGCAACAAGTTCGGCGTAGCAGATTCGGATGGCCATCTCAGCCTCTTCCAAGTCGCTTGTCGAGATGGAACGGCTCGACCTTTTTTCGTTAGTAGACTTTTTTATTTATTTTTTTTAATTTAATCACAAAATCAATGGCGCATTGCATATTTTTGTAGAATTACCAGTGCCACAGCAAAGTAACAGCCGATTTTGTCTTTCTGGGAGCTTGCAGTCTAGTAGCCACTGCCGGTCACAGCTCTGAGGGACGCAACGTGGCTCTTTGGGACACTCTGTTGCCCCAAAGTAAATCTCTCGTTCAAGGTAAGCAGTAATCATTCAAATGGTAGTAGATAAGTAACTCTGGTTGACGTTAAAAAATAAGTAAAAACTGATGTGGCTGTGTATCATTATTACGTGTGCAGCTTTCACTTGCCATGATCAAGGAGCGAGTTCGGTGATACTGGCTCCTCAGCACCAGTTATTGATTAGCGGCGGAAAAAAAGGAGACATCAACATATTCGACGTGAGACAACGGCAACAGCGTCATCGTTTTCAAGCTCACGAATCTCCAATCAAATGCTTGGCTTTGGATCCCCATGAAGAGTTCTTTGTCAGTGGAGCCGGAGATGGTGACATTAAAGTAAAGTCTTTTTCACTATAAACTCGACAATACCTTCCATTACACTATTGCTCTTTGCACAATTAATCTTACACGCGCGGTAATTTTAGGTGTGGGGCTTGACCGTCCATTCACTGCTCTATTCTTTCCCTGGAGAACATCCTAGATCAAGTTTCTTTAAAAACATTGGACAGGTGAGGCAACTCAAATTTATATCTATTAAACACTGTACGTTCTAACGGTTACTACGATTTTTTTTTAGGGTGTAACTCAATTGCACGTAGATTCGGCAGGACGTTTGTTTTCGTGTGGTGCAGATGGTTCTATGAAAGTTCGTCAACTGCCAGAGCGAGACTGCGTTGTGCACACGTATTATTAAAGTAAGCCATTAAAAAAAAAAAAATTTTTTAATATGAGTACATGCATAAAATTTCAAAACTGACTCTATATTCCGTTATTTCAGATGATCAACTGAATCGTGTAATATGACGACAGACTGTTTTCGGCCTGGCGCAATGACTATTGTACAATAAATGCATATATAAAGTTATTCAACTGATATTTATTCTTGTGAAATCGTTGTCAACTATTCATGCGTATATTTTCTTCAAAAGTCTATTTCAGTGATAACGTTTCCTCCCAAATCTTAATGTCTTTTAAAATTTCAAAAATGTCTTTAACCCTAATTAAAATCATTTGTCGAGTCGTTCAACGTCCACCGTGTAACTTTAACATTGAAAAATGCTGTAAAGAACATTGTGTACATGATAAATTTATTTGGTTAGTGTACTTGACCAACTTGAACTGCTAAAATGGGAATTATTTAACTTAAAAATGAACTTGGTACACATTTTTTACTGCTTATTTAATTCGGTTCTTTATCACGAATTTTCGTTATAATTTTTCAATTGCATAAAGTAAAAAAATTTATGTAAAATTCATAATAGTGCCATACAAAAACAAAGAAGGAAGTATCAATGAAGAAAGTATATAATAGGTAAAAAAATCCGTTCAACATGAGTATTTGGGTACACAATTAAGATAAACATCATATACGAATAAATATATTTCGTATAAACTCGAATAACGTTTCCTACACTATTATTGTAATAACATAATTTAATGTTGTTGTAGTTGTTGCTATGTAAAATAATTTTAACAGTTTCGTAATGTAATATTTATTTGGAGCTGAATGCTACGAAAAGTTTTTAACGATAGTAATATTGTTTTGACTGTTGATAGAATATGAATTGACGAAAAGTATTTATTTGTGCCCTAATGTACAAAGCTCTAAAAATTACGTTGATCTAATTATCTAAAATTACGAATTTATTTCTTTATTACATGCATGTGCGTGTATACGATTTGTTTGGCTTGGCGATTGGGGGATGCTCATGAAAGCTATTAAAATATATTTCCATATATATATGGTTATGGAGCGCTCCTAATGGCTCTGGAACGCTAAACCGAACAAATTTATAGCACTATATGTAAATGTGTGTATGCTGAGGTTTGAATAAGAGTACTCTGTTGCCTTAATTATGACAAATCGCTTGTTGTTAGAATTTAGAAAAACTCAACTGGACACATAAACTGTATAATTTGTAATATATGTAGTTACAAATGCCTTGTTTCTTATATCACTGTGAGTTAAAATAAGATAAGAAAACTGTTACTTTACAACATTGTTGAAAATATATAATAAAAAAAAAAAATAAAGATGCTATAAGTATTTACTTGACACAACACATCATCCACAGCCAGCTCTTTTGAGTAACTTGTTAATGAACTGAATATAATGTATTCCTTGTCTATTACCCTTCACTAAAAGTCTATCAAACAAGTTAAATGAAAGAGGGATGTGTGCATATGTATTGTTACTACGTGTTACCTATAAACATAAGTTAAATATAATAAAACACTTTAAGTATTGTAAAAGAGAATGGTTTACTGATTTACGAATGCATTTGTATTCATATCACATAAATCAATTATTATTCATAATTCAATAGAAAAATTGGCTGTTACAATATTTTGCATCCAATTTATGGGCGACAACGTTCTAAGAAGCGAGGATAAAGGCAAACTTCTCTAATGTGATATCTGTTAAGAAGCCAACAGATAAATCTTTCTAAACCAAGACCATAGCCTCCATGAGGGCAGGTTCCATACTTTCTCTGTGAAAAAAATTACTCATTGATTAACTTTTTCACTAATGTCAAATAAGGTACGCTGAAACTTTTTTTACCTGATCAGTGTACCAGTAGTAGGGTTTTGGATCAATATCAGCGCTCTTGTATCCTTCAAGCAAAGCATCATGATCCCAAATACGCATAGATCCACCAACGATTTCTCCTACATTTGGAAGTAAAACATCGACAGATTCGGTTAATTCTTCACCTTGTTTTCCTTTGCATCTCTGCATATAAAATGATTTTATCCCTGATGGAAAACGACACAGCATAATAGGCTCATTGATTTGATCAGTCATTTTTCTCTCTGGCATTTCGGGAATATCCTAAAATATTTTATTTATTGTTTAAAAAAATTTCACATCTTGCACTGAAAATTTTTTTAACCAATAATTATTTTTTACCTCTCCAAACTCATAAAAGCTTCCATCCTCTTTGGTGATGTTGTTTTCTTTCAAATAGTCGATGGCTTCGGAATAATCCATTCTCCGAAATGGTCTCTTTGGTACTTGGAAGTTAGGGTTAAGTTCTTTCACAAGATATCCCATTGGTGATTGAAGAACTCTGTCAACAACATCGCAAATCAAGTCTTCCAGTCTATCCAGAAGATCATCAAAAGTAATAAAAGGACATTCTGCTTCGACATGAGAGTACCTGAAAAATTATATGTAAGATAACTACAATTTTTTTTTATATAAAAAACATAAATAAAGTTTCTTTAAAAACATTGGACAGGTGAGGCAACTCAAATTTATATCTATTAAACACTTTATTAATATGCTAATCTCTTTATAAGCTACTGTTACGACTATTTTGTCCATTATACTTTCTTTGGAAAAGGAAATTCGATATAATTTAAAAATCATCATCTTTATTTGAGCTCAGAGGTATTACACATCATCTTAATAATAATACTTCTACATGATGTTTTTTTTTTCTTTCTTTTTTATTTGCTAAACACACGGTGGTATGAATAACGCACAAGAAAATTATTTGTAAATGAACTATTATTCCAGCACTTTTGTTCACCCAGTCAAATATTCATGCTAACAATGTGTACACACAAACGATCTTCTTGACTTTACAGTACAATCCTATGATTATCATTATAAAAGTAAAATATAGCACACACACCGTAAAAGTGATCCGGCTTTTTGAAACATCGGTAAAAAAAAAGTCAAAATGCCAAACTAAAGGCTAGTTGATTATTGCATGACACAATTGAATGCTGAGGTGTGTGGGTGTGTGTACATATGTGTATATCGTGTCTCAAATATTCAGAGATGGCCTTATCTAATTGTGACTCGTTCAAATTGGCAATTAAAGTTCCGTAGAAGAACTGGATTAAAATAATAATAATAATAATAATAATAATAATAATGATGAGACAACTTTTAAAATATACGAATAAAGCTCAGAGTTGGATAAGGGCCCATGAGTGTGGCGCACTGGGATAGGGTAGCACAAGTGGTGACGGAGACAAAAAAAACTGTTGCTTGTTTAATGCTTGCCCAACGAACCATCTAACTCTCTCGGTGTGTCTGCGTCACTGATCTGGCGACCTGCTCACTTGTTCGATCTCAGATGAAGGGGATGCCTGTTTTTCCTGGCTCTAACGACCAGCGCTTTTGTCAGTTTGTCGCTGATAGGAGTAAACACTTGTTGAAGCCGGTGAGACTAACATCTACATGAACAACCCTAGCTGTTCCTAGTGCCAATTATAATTATAATAATAATAATAATAATAATAATAATCCATGTTCATCTTGTTGTTTATATTGTTGTTGTTGTATCGACTGTTACATTGTATGTATGACTTTTCGACTTGTCCACATTTTTTAATGTTAATGCGTGTCTCCCTTTACTTACGTACTTATTGTCCGACAGGCTCAGAATATCCTCATGCTACTTAATCGATTCATTTTCAATTCATCGCCCCGCGCTGCAGTGTCATGATTTTTTCATTGTGATTTAACACATTTTAAATTAATGTACTAATATATTCTCGTTTTATTATTATCATGCACAAATCAGTTTTGCTTTCTTAAAGCTTTTAAAATTTGTTGACTCGTGCTTTAATAATTAATTTTTATTTTAGTACAAATTTTTTTTTTTTTTTTTTCTCTTTTTTTCAATAAAACCAGGGATATTCTAAGTCTGATGATTTTTGCAAATTGACTCTTAAGAGTTTAGCATGATGAGCAATTAGATAAGTAACATAGATAGTTTATTCCACCAACGTCATTTCACATAGTACAGATAAGCGCTTAGTTATCAGCAAATTTCGCTTACATACGTCATTGCTGCTTGATTTTCATTAAAAAAAAAAAAAAAAAAAACGCAGCAAAAGCTAATTTTTAGATATACACGTTTCTCGCTCGTTTTAATGGCCACAGTGATATCTAGAATAGTTATTAATCATGAGTCAATTACAATACGCAATATTTTTCACACCAACACACTGCAACACGCACAATCCAGACATACGTTAAAAAGCATTAATTTGATGAAAGCTTATGCCTGTCCGATCGCCTGCCGATTTTCGGTGTAAAAGGCATCTAATTTGACTTACACGTACTTATGTATAATATACAATTACTTGATTACTCCTTTCGCAAGTAAAATTGTTTTGAATGATTTTTACATGCAATAATAATATGTTATTACTATGATTATGTTTTGTTTGTCGTTAAAAATAAGCAACTATTTTGAATAAAATGAATAAAAAAAAAAAAAAAGCATACGGAGATAAGTAAATGAAATTATGTATAGCCCAACGCAGGTGTCGAGTGATATTAAGTAGTTGACTATACATATAATTATATCGCTAAGCGAAGCCTCAGCTTGCAGGAAATCATCATGCTGCCTTTTGACGCATGCTGATCCTCATTCGTATGATATTTAGTAGTCTTGAACTTTTTTATTTTTGTATTTTCTTTTTCCATTATTTGTATGTTAAAAACTCACAGTTACATACATATATTAAACAGAATATATTATGTACTTAAGTACGCTGTCACACCAAGGCTCACCACTTAGGGTAGTTCACATAATATGATGACCATGCGTCATGCCTACTTACAATGGTAATTTGAATTTATCGGGATAATCGTGGAANTTTTATTTTTATTTTAATAGATGATGCAGCAAAAACGAATGGTCAATTAGATATCATGGCCCAACAGCTTAAATTCGTGGCATGTTTAAAAATTTTAATGGAAGAGTTATCGACTTTAGCTACTGGTTTTGAAGTCGATGGAGGACAATTGCGATATCAGTTGTATGTTTGGCTTGAAAGAGAAGTTGATGCTCTTCGACAGCTTTGCAATTACAGTGCCAACACCGACGGGGACGTTGTTAACGTTACTGAATGTAATCAATCTATTTCTTTCTCGATTACGTATACATTTTTATGTGCTCATTAAATATGTTTTTCGTAGATGACGGAACTATTACTGAAGAAGTGCCATCGCACAAGCCAGGAGAACAACCAACCCTTCACGAAATTTTAGTAGCTGAAAAATTAGATTTTGAAGCTAAAGTGCAAAGAGCAGCAAAAAGAAAAAAGTGGCTGAAGGCGAACGAGACATTGTTAAGAACTTTATTGTCGTATTGTTCTCTTCACGGAGCATCAGGAGGTGGTTTAGCGTCGGTTAGAATGGAATTAGTACTGCTGCTTCAAGAGTTACAACAAGAGAAAACTCAGCAACAACTGTTGAGTCCTCTTCCGTTCCCCACAACGTTACCTCTGCTGAGCGCAAGCGTTGCCTGCAACAAGACTGTCGTCGCAGATCCAGTACGCCACATGCAGTCTCTTGAGCACGACATGCTTCAGACTATTGTAGAAATCAGAAATCCCCCGATGCCTCACAAAAATACGCACTACTGTGAAGTATTTATTTTGCGCGATTTGGCCGTTGCATTGAGTGCCTGCATCTATCAATCCCTCTGTGATTCTGATACATTTGTAAACAAACATCAACAAACAGAAAGGTAATCTTTTCATGCAACTGTCTTATAGGACAATTAGTATGCCTATACTTACCAAAGCTACGTATTTTTTTTTTTTTTTTTTTCAATAGTTTCACAGCTGCAGCTGAATTTGAGGCTTTCTCAGGCGGTCATTTAGTTGCATCGAGTAGATCGCATCGACGATACTCCACCGAAGATAGCGTTTGTATAACGACGTCACCTAGCAAATGGCCAGGTGTAACGAGCTTGCGAGCACTGTTAGCACGAGAAAAAGATGAAGATACACCGAAATTAAATATTCTCCTTTGCGAAGCTTTTGTCGCGACGTTTATGAGTTTGTTTGTATATGCCCTGTCAAGTTGCGACAGTCATATACTGTATAGGCTCGTGGGCCATCACTTTGACAATAATACGTGGTCTTGTCTCTTTGGAGGAGGCGTTAAGAAACTTCTAAGGGTAGCTAGCACTAGTGGTCAGGTAATTTTGGATTCTTTAATTAATCATTAAAAAAGTTTTCTTATTATTTCTACAAGTTGTATAATATTAATCATCAATTGATAGAGCGGATCAATGAGCTTAGAAAGATCAGATAGTGTAACTAATGACGTCCAAAGCTCTGGAAGTGGTGGAGTTTGGCAGACAATGACGTCGTTAACTAAACAACGAGTTAAATTAAATATGAAGTTATTAGGACAATTTACGACACAACAACCAAATATGAAAGAAGATAAGCCTACTTATAGGGAGCAATTCGTCTCACCACAAATGAGCATGATTTCATATTTTCTTATGAAGGTAAATTATGACAATTTAGCTAGAAAATTCTGAAAACTAATCATCAATTTACTTCCGTTAGCCGCGAATCGAAGGTGAAATGGCTGAAGAAATAGATTACGATTCTTCAGACTCGGCCATTTCGGACCTTGATGAGTCTGAAGATGAAGACGATGTTTTCGATACAAACACTAAGCCAAAGATAAAACCCAAAGATAATACAGAACACTCAAATCCAAATTCTTATAGTTGGTGCGTTATGAGGTTAGCCATAGTAAAAATTCTGCAACAGCAGTTGCAAGACTTCCTTAACGTAGCAGGAATAGAAGTGCAAGGTCTGTATGAGCTTTTAAAGAATCATTAATATTACGAAATCCGCTATAAATTAATTTTAACAATAATTCGTTGAAACAGAGTTGCCAGTCAGCAGTCCTTTGATACATGGAGTATTAGGAGTAGTGGTGCAGTGGCAAGAATCATTACGCGATGAACTTGAGTCGAGGGGACCACCACCAGCAAATTATATTCCAGGTTGCGCTCCGGATCCAGTTCCAACTCCCGGAAAGCCAGCGATACACAAGTATCGTTCACTGCTTGAAAAATGCAATTCACCATTCAAGTAGGTCAATCAATTTTTTTTTCTTGATTTTCAGCTAATACAAAATGTTTGTTGTAGTCCTAGGATGGCTTCTGCAGCGCCGGCAAACCGACTGTGGTCTTATTTGATTAGACAAGAATCAGTCCAAGATATTTTTATACGAGCAGTATTTGGAAAGCGACGGTCACTTTCTTCTTTATTGGATAGCAATAACGGAGTAGATGGCAATACCCGAGGTCAGGGAGAGGACAAAGGTAGCGACAGTGGCACGACAAGTCTCCCCGAGCCTGTCAGAATCATTCACAAGGAA